GGTACAAGGATGCGGCTAGTGGGTAGCCATTGCCATTCAAAAAATACAAACTCAACTCACCCACCATTTGGGCAAGTTGCATGTTCCGAGAGACATGATAGCCAGAATCCTCTAGTTCCCACACACGCAGCTTTTGTGACAGTGAAGAATACTGCACATGGGATAGCTTCACCGTGATCACTGGCCCAAGGGGCCGTCCAATGACAACACTCCTGATGGTTTTGGACCTGGTTCCTGAATTCTTTGTGCAAGATATGACTGCAAATCGCTGGGCCACAAAGTCAAATTTCCGGTGGAAACTGGTTCCAAGAAATGTGTGGTGCGCAAGATTGTTGTCCACCGGCCGGAAAAACACAATGAACTCTACACCATCCTTGATGCTGGATCGGGCCCTCTCAGATTCTGAAGCAAATTGTACTTCAGGCGCCATGAGGCTTGGCATGCTGTCATCTTCCATGGCGATAGGTACCATGGAATTACTACCTTGGCAGCCAGTGGCATGTGAGGTTACCAGAGTCAGACCAGTCACTACAGTATTCCCGTGTTTTATTGTGTGTTCCTCCTCGAAGACTCGCTTTTGGTCTCCAATTCAATTCCCGCTTTATTCTTGCAGCGCAGCATGAAGCGTATAGCATACAGAAAGTACTAGTGGACCACTAGTGGACCTCAAAATCAAGGCAAGACTCATCTCTCTGGAAGGGTCAGCAATTCCATTGACTTACTGCAATTGCTCAATGTCCCATCATCAATGGAGAAGAGCGTCCCAATCTTCTCTTTGCTCACCTACGCCACAGTCATAGAATGACTCAGAAATAGAACCTAAAAGCCGAGTCCAGTCAACAGTCTAGAATCTAGAATCATATTTTTTTCAGTCAGCTCAGCCTCAGCACCATGAATCCGGTTTGGATGCCCCCATGCCCCAGGCCTGCAGTAAATACTTGATCAGCAGCTTGCTCATGGGGTCTTCAATCTCTGTTGAACCCACATCCAGAATGGACTTTCGATCTCTCTTCGCCCCTGGGTGATCTTGAACCTGTTGCTGAATCTCCCGGTGAAGCCTTTTTTTGGATGAGTGCTTCAACTCTAAAGAATCCCGATAGACCAGTTTGACGATCTGACTTGGACCCATCTGAGATAGATGCTTCTCAACTGCTGGATGCAACCGAAGGAGAGACCTCAGCGAACCCTTGCATTGCAAGACTGCAATGCAAATCATTGTGCTCACTGTCACACTGTAAGTAAGATATCAATATTCAATATCCCAGTTACAAGTTGCCAGTCACCCTCTTCATGTGTTCGGAAACTTTGAAACTTGACTTGACAGATTGAACTTGAAACTATGCCAATTCCAAGAGACATCACTGCTTTCTTCAAGCCGACTGCGGTCTCCATGCGGTGAAGATGAACTGAGAGGGCCCTAAGCGCTAACGGGTTGCTTGTCACAAGATCCCTTAGCTTCTGGAACCTGAGCTCATTGGACAGATACGGGATATGGCAGTGTGGAGCTCGTTTTTGGATCTGGTGAATCCGGCTGTGGCGGCCCTCCACAGATCTTTCCGCTACCCGAACCTCAGTGTATGTTTTGTAGTAACTTAACTTGCACTTTGAAAGTTGAAAAGTTGAAAGTAAAAGTTGAAATGAAAGTTGAAAAGTTGAAAGAATAACAGAGACTGAGACTGAGACTCTCCAACAACTGACTTAGTCAATTAGTCCATCAATGATCAATATAACCAAAATCGAATCCAAAGAACAAGTCGGAATCCAGAAAGCCAGTGCATTAAAGATAGAACTTCAGGGCTGCAAGTGGTGTCAAGCGATGCAAGAGCATATTCAGACAGGGAGTTTTGGCCACTGGCCAAAGCTTCTACTAAACCCCTGAGCGGTGGGTCATTTGCTTGAAGTCCTTTCCAGCTTGGATTCAGAAATCTCTGCGATTGGGCACGTCGACAACCTTCCGCCTGAGGGTCAGCATCATAGCGTCGCAGGCAATCCCTTGCCACCCGCTGAACTTCAACATCACTTGGAAATGCCAAGCCACCTTAAGCAAGCAGTGGAACCCCAGCCAGCAAGAAAGTTATGCTCCCGCTGCTCCAGGCTTCGGCTTCAGGTTACAATTTCAATTTCAATATCAGAATCAGCATTAGTAGTCGAAAAATGGAACAGCGGAAGGGGCAATTCGCAGCCTCCAGTTGTCCCAGAGTCCTTGGAACCTTCCTGCTCTTGGCATGACAGCGTGGGACTTCGACATTTGCAACACCATCGATAATGACAATTGCGTCCTCCGTCTCTGTTGCTAAACTTTCTAAGTCATCATTGTGACACCCACATCCCTCACACCACTTCCCAATAATCTCGGACTCCTTGGCAATCATTTTGATCATACCAATGAAGCACCAATCGAGATCATTCTTCATGAGCTGAGTTATTCTGGTGATGTGCTTTTTGGAGCTGTCTTCAACAGCAAAGGGCCTGTCACCTTCAATGCCGCGAACATATGCATTGCTGTTCCACCCTTCCCTGAGCAATTTCTCAAGCGGAAGCACCTTAGTAGACACTCCGAATCACGAGTCAGCCTAGGACATAGGAGGATAGGAATGGCCTCGCTCCAACCTAATCGGAATGGCCTCCAACCTAATAGTCGAACCTGTAATATATATATATATATAATCGGAATGGCCTCCAACCTAATAGTCGAACCTATAATATATATATATATATTATATATTTATATGTATATAATCGGAATGGCCTTCAACTCCAACCTGATAGGAATGTTCTCTAAGAATGGCCGCCTCCGCCTCCAACCGATAGCAATGGCCATAACTTAATGGGAGTGAGTGAGGAGTGAGGAGTTGCAATGAGCTTCCCAAAGCCATCAATTCCTTAATCATTCCTTTATATAAAGATTGCTCCTAAGCAAATTTTCGAGGTAGTAGACCAGGAAGGCCCCTGATCCTCAATAATGACTTTGCTTTAAGGGTTCTCAATTTGTGCAAAGTGTTTATCCCGGAAGGTCTGTAAGGACTGTAAGACCCGAAAGCAGTGTGTGTCTGAGACCCGAAACAGTGTGTGTGAGGTCTGTAATGTGATGGTCTAGCGGTCTAAACGCATTGAGGTCCAGAGAGGTGATGGTGGTGATGAAGGTGGGGATCGTGGCGGTGGCGGCGGTGGTGAATGAGTGAGTGAGTGCGTGCGTGCGTGGGTGGGTGGGTGGGTGGGTGGGTGAGTGAGTGAGTGAGTGAGTGAGTGAGTGAGTGAGTGAGGTGAAGTGAAGTGAAGTGAAGTGAAGTGAAGTGAAGTGAAGTGAAGTGAAGTGAAACCAGCGCCTTACTCCTTGCGCCTTACTTGCGCCCCTTTTCTTACCAGGGCCAAACCAGCCTTGTATTATATATATATATATATAAACAATGGGCTATGGATGGCTATGGTGAATGGTGACCCCCGATCGCCCACGTGCAACACCCCCGCGCACAGAGTTCCTCAACGGCCACAGTGGCAGCCACTGCACATGTTTTCCTAGGTTAGCTAATAGCTAGCTAGCTGACTGAGGACAGAGCTTCTTTGCAAAAGGATGATATCACTTCCCACCTCAACCCTGTCAGGCTTTCTCCTCTCCACTTCAAAACAGCCAGTTTCTCATCCTTCGACTTCTGCTTGAGACATACAGCCACGAAGCGCTGCTTCCAGTCAAAGTTGCTTAGGAGGTGGTCCAGTGATTGTAAGCGAGGTAGAAGCTCTGACCAACTTAGTTGCGGGCATGGCACAAGTGAAACAGCTGACAGCTGGTTCCATTCATCATCAGTATCAGTATCAGTCTGAGTCTGAGTACCTAGCCTTGCCTAATCTTATCTCTATTTCTCACTGTGACTGTAACTGTAACAGTGACCAGTGAACAGAAAAAAATCAGAAATGGCCTGGTCTGGTGAGTGAGTGAGTGAGTGACATGGTGATAGTGATGGTGTTTCAAATTCGAATGAATATGAATGGAACCAAGTTGCTGCGGAAGCTGGTCCAAGATCCCAGCCAACGCATTGTCACATATATGCTTGATTCCAGAGACTTTGAATGCATTCGGAAATATATGTTCGTCGACAGCACTACTGCCAGTGCCAGGGCTTGCGCGTTCCAACTCCAACTGGCCCAACTGGCTTCTGGAACTTGCAACCTGTACCGCCCGAATGCTGGGGCCTTCCTCAAGCGCTAGCTGCGGCATGCTGTCATCTTCCAAAGCAGATTGCCAAGACTCAGACTCAGACAACTGGCGCCTGGTCCAAGTTGGGAAGTAGGACCAATCAGCACTAGCATCCGACAAAGCCGGCTCTGCAGCCATTTTCATGATGGATTCTATTTCAGCTTGGTCAAGATCAAGACCTCTCAATACATCCATAGATCGATCTCGGCAAAGTTGTGACAAGCTCACATTCCATGCATCCGCCAACTTCAATTCCGTGCCTGAGGAGGAGTAGCAGTAGTTGTATAAGTAACAGTGGAGTAGAGTAGACTCAATATAGTCTAGTCATTAGTATACGTAGTTAGTATTTTAATATCTATATAGTAACAGTAACAGTAACAGTAATAGTAATAGTAAGTCAAGTCAATTAGCAATAAATGAGCCTCGCCACCACCACCTCATATGTCCTCTCCTCTCCATGACCCTGGCCCCTGACCCCTGTCAACGCACACACACACACTCACTTCACACAATGCTGTCAAGATTCCTTGGTCGCTCAAGCAGCAAACAACAGATCTGCAGTACTGCTGTAGACTTTGCTCCAAATTCCCAGTGTTTGCCTCAAGCGTCAAAATGTGCAGGAGCGCTTCCAATTTCTGCGGGAAGCTGCAAAATCCTTGGCTGACCCAAGACCCAAACCCGCACCCACCACCACCAAAGCCAACATGTAGAATTATATAAGATCATTCATTCATTATCATGTAATATTTAAGAGAACTCAGAACTAGACTCGACTGGGACTGGACTTGGACTGTCCCATTTCCAGCGACTATAGGACTACCACCCTGACAGCCAAGCAGCCCTTGCCCATAGCTACTAGTGGGAAAATGCGGCATTCGGTGCAAAGAGTGGCCGCTTGCGCTGAAGTTCCAGCAGCAGCAGCATCGCTTTCATTTTCATACCACTGCTGGCCAATCATATGTCGGAAGTTGTCCAGGCTGTTGACACACCTTGCAAGTTGCGAGCACATAGCAGCGCAGTGGAGACAGCAATAGTATAGTATATAGTTAGGAAGGAAGAAAGGAAGGAAGGAAGGAAGTAAGTAGTAAGTCAGGAGTCAGTCAGTGAGTGAATAAGTAAGTAAGCAAGCTGGCTAGCTAGCTAGTTAAATGAGTAAGAAGTAGAAGAGGTCAGGTGATTCACTTCAAGTGAAGTGAAGTTGTTGAAAGTAGTTGGTGGTATGCGGTATGAGTATGAGTGAGTGGCAGGCAGGCGAGTCGAGTCAGTTGACGTCGTCAAAAGGTTTCATCCACTGCTGAATCTGAACTACAACCACTGCCCAAGCGCCAAGCGCTGCTGCCTATTACCTATCTGCTACCACCTGCCGCCTGCCTGTTGCTCCCCTGCCTTGTGGTCCATTCTTCGCAAACGAAGAGCTCAGATTTTTGCTTTGTAGCGTCATAGCCTAAATTGAGATCAGCCAGAGTCTGAGTCAGAGAAGTTTTGGATTTGGGACCAAGGACCAACTAGTGAGATAAAGTGGAATGATGAGGGATGAGGGATGCAGGAATTTCCTCCTTCCAAAAAAAACTTTGCCAGGCCAACGTGTTGAGTTTTGGATTTGGGACCAAGTAGCAAAGTGAGATAAAGTGGGATGCAAGGCCTTCCTCCTTCCAAAAAAGCTGCCTTGCAAACATGTTTAGTATATCCAATTTCCACCTTGCCCGGGTCATCGTTGGTGCACTTGGGGTTTTGATCTTGTTGCCATCCGCATCAACAATGTCCTTGTCCTTCTGGTTCTTGTCACAGGGTGTGCTGTCATCGCACAATGCCTCACTGACAGGTTGGGAGTTGGGGCGGAATGGGAAGTAAGACCACTGACCACTTCGGCCTATAATATGCATGCATCATCATCCATTTGGTAATGTGTATTACAAAAACTCTTTTGGCTTCTGTCTTTTATGGAACATAATATAATATATTATATAATTATATATATTTTTATATTACTATTAATATTACATATAGATTGAGGTGGTGGCCGGGGACAACTCAAGCCTCAAGCCCAAGGACCGGGGAAATCAACTCGACCCCCAAATAAAGAAAGGTGAGGCAAAGGCACTGCTAATTCCTTGGCTGCGCCAGGATCACCAGTGGCCATTTGAAGCACTGCAGTCACGCAAAAACCCAACCGGCTGCTGTTCTTTAGCTCCATGGTCAAGTTCATGCATTGGTACAGCTGTAGTAATGAATATGCTGGTCGCCCAGCCCGTCCGTCAGGCTGTTTCACGCATGGGGTGAAAGCAGCTTCCAAAGCATCCTGCGCACGGTGACCTTTGGCCTTAGGTATGTATCCGGCATTCAGGCATCCACAGTAGCAGGCTCAGGAGGAAAAAATGCCATTCCATTCCATGCCTGTTATGCATTGTTCAGTAATTCTCAGTTGACCAGACTAGACCAGGCGACCAATGTCCAATCCTCACATGATTTCAGACGCAAAAAGCAATTCCAAGGCGCATGTTTCAGCTCAAGAAGTTTTAGGGCTGCATCTCGATATGCAATCACCTTAGATGCTGAGGATGTGCTGCTACAGCTTGCGGCTTGCAACTTGCGACCTAAACAAGTACACTTCAAAAAACCAACACTGTACGTCACTGTACACTACTACGAGTCTGAATTGCCAAAAAATACAGCAATTCGATTGCCCCCTGGCCCTGGACCCAGCAGAAGTTGACTTCAAACAAATCTGAGTCACTTCCTGCTCCGAGCCATGCTGAAAAACGGGTCTCGCAGCCTTCAATAGAAGCTCATACACTTCCGCAGCCTTTGCCTGCGCCTCTTTCTCGAATTCTGCAGAGTCTGCAGCCATCAGCTTGGCAAAATGCACTATTCCATTTCCAATGGTTTCTGACACTGACTTTGAAGACCTTTCTTTACTTTATATCAACTTGTTATCGTTGATTGGAACTTGGACCATGAAGGTCATATGATACGTGATTTGATCATATGATATTATTATCATGTATGATTTGGTTTGTTTGGAATGGCTAAACTATCGCTGCTCTAAACCCTTCACGTGTCACTTCATCGCGTTGCCTGATGAGGCCTGATCCGCACATTCACTCACAGGACCACGCAAATGATGCAAAACAATCACGCTATTTTAAGAATTAGATCTGTTTTTATCACCGATGAACACTTTTAAACTATACCAACAGCTTATACCTAAAATGTGGTTTCTAAAGTCAAATTGCTTCCTCAAATCGCTTTTTCTCTTATCCAGTGAGCCCAAGAGATAAAACCAAATCTGAAAA